ACATATGGATTTGTGTACGTAATCCAGCAGAACATGCAGTACGATTCCTTCAAAACGTATCTGAGAATGCAGTGAGTTTGTCTAGGACTTTAAGGCAAGGCTGCTTTAACTAGTGGCTTAAATCCACAAATAGATTGTATAGCTATAGACTCAGGATGCAGCGTTTGTGGCCATTCAGTCTATTATTAATGTAAGTTGAAGGCCTTGAATTGTTCTGAACACTTTCATGCATCTATCTGTCCTTTTTCTCCATCGTCTGACCTTTTCTTTGGAGCCAAATCACCACTGACAATCACAAGACAACTATTACGTAGATTTCCAGGAAATATACTGTGACAGAAGCCTAAAGTTAAATTAATCTGACTAATGAATGGACCAATAGCCGAGCAAGAGTCCATTGATTCGTCGTTACCCAGATTCAGGTTTGCAAGACCAGAAAGGAGAATGACGTGAAGCACTGAAGGGAGAAGTTTTTGACAGAAGTGATGTTTACCGACCAAATGAGTCGGACGTAACCCAACTCAGAGCTTTGTGCTTTGTTTTCCTCAGCATGGTGGATTAAATGTTTTCTTTTCCTTTTCCACTTTTGCCCAGTAACACCTATCCAATAAGAATTCATCACCCTTATAGATGTGATGTCACATGATTCTCCCTGTTGGAGGAACACTCTGTGATGTGATGATGCCATTACCAGTTCAGTGGTTGGTCCGCTAATGGCAAAAATGATCCATATGTTGTTTATTTCATTAAACAGTTCAGTACTTTGGGGTGTAAATGTTGCCAACAGTGCTTCATTAGATGTGTTAACAAAAAGGATCACATCATAAATCACTGCCGCTTCCCTTTTCCTGGGATCTAACCGGTGCTCTGCTGCTCTGCTTTCAGGCCTCAGCGGGTGAACTGGCTGAAGGTGGATGACGACGTTCCATCTCACGCCGTCATCACCGGCGGTGACCTTTACATCGAAAACCTAAACAAGTCCTACAACGGAACCTACCGTTGTGTGGCGTCCAACTCAGTGGGGGAGTCTTACGACGACTACATCCTCTACGTCTATGGTACGCTCACCCAACACCGACATGCTAACACGTCATTGTCTCGCTCTTTAAATGTATCTGCTGTTTTTTTCCAGCCTTTCCTTCAATCCTCCAGATGAACACTAATGTCACTTCTTGTACACCGTTTAACAACCTGCTGAGATTTTTAACCAAGATTTAGGAGATTGGACATAAATAGCAGATTATCTCCCACTGATCAGCCACAACATTAAAACCAGAAGCTTAATATTGTGCAGGTTCCCCAAACTTCAGGTCACCATGACAATTAATATTATTCAAGGAGACCAATGGCTGCTGTACAGTTGCATAAAAAGGAAAATGTTGGTGCCAAACTCTAGAACAGCCCAAACTTTGTTGACATTGCTTTGTTGAAAGATTGCACGTTTAAATGAATTTATTTGATAAGGATTCCAAAAATCTGCAAAATCTTAACTATCAGCTCCAGTCGTTGGACGATCCCGAGTCCTTGCTGCTAAAACAGATGGGCCATGGACAGTGGACATTAGTGCCGTCGATGACGTTGCATCATGGGATTGGGCTTTTGTTCAAACACGTCCCACAGACGGCTGATTAAATCAGGATCTGGAGAGTTTGGAGGCTGCATCACCGCTTGGTCATGTTGCTCAAACCATTACTCAGCAGTTTGTGCCATGTGGTGGGGCATGATGTCCTGCCAGGTGGGGGGTCGTTGCGCCTGGTTTGCAACGATGTGTAGGTGGTCTAAGACGTCCCACCAGAACCCTGAACGATGATCGATGCTAATGTTGTGGCTGATCAGCGTATATGTCGACTGATGACTGATTCACAAGACTGGTAAGCTGTTAGCGCTGGTGCTCACTGCTAACACTTGTAGCATACTAAACACTCCGCTGGCATAATCCAAAGTACGCCCACTGACTTTTAAACGAGGACTCTGTTATAGTGCAAATGCAATATACTATTAATCCCTTCCCCAATTCCAGCTGCACTGCTGGTGTGGCCGAATGCTTGTCACTGCACTCTGTCCACTTTGTTCGCTTGATGCCGAAAACATTAGCACAAAGGAGAGTGAAAAGCCGGCACGCTGTTCCAGCCTTTGATAAGCCTTCAGACTCATTATTACTCATTTTCCATCTCACATGAACCTATAGCAACAGCCCCATACCAGAGCTGCTCGTTCAGGTTTCCTTTTGGCTCCATATTTGTAACAGAAGACACCAGCATCATGCTCTCAGCATCTTTCTCTGGGCTTTGATTGGCTGTTTTAATACCCCGAGTTCACATTTTGCATTTATACACATATTAAACATTGTGAATTTTGAAGACTGGTTTGGATTTTTTTCTACCAAAACTCTCTATTTTTAAGCCAGATTTCAAATTTATAGGAAGCTAAATACTAAAATGAGAACATTTCTTTGGAGCACATTGGGCAGTTTGGGTCTACGAGCCCATCATCTAAAATCCTGGATACGACTCTGAGCATAATAATCTAAAATTCTTGCCCCGGGAGCCCTGCTGCTTTTCAGAAGGTGAAGGTAGTTGGGAGGCTGTGAGCAAAAAAAAAAAAAAAATTACCTGGCTGCAAATCTATACAGCATGTTGTTGGTTCTGAAAGTAAATCTGCCACATCAGCTCTGCTGAGTCACTGGATTTCATTTTTAATACGTCGGTCCAGAGGTCACACAGTAGTTTTATTGCATCCTGATGTCAGTCAAGTCAGTTTTATTCATACATCCCTCACCCACAAACGGCATGGCTTTATAATGTGCACAGCGCATGACACCCTGGTTCAGGTAAGAAGAACGACTTATACGCTGTGTGCAAAGTGTATACAGCTTTTTTTTTTTTCTTCTATTTTATTTTAGCTGAATCGCAGCTGGAGATCAATAAATACAGAGCAGTGTGTGTGTGTTTTGTCGGCCGGTGGGGCTCCCATTCACAAACCAGGGCTAATCCTTTAACCTGCTTCTTTCAGATGTCTTTATTTCTGCGGCTTCCATGTTGATCTAACGTCCTCCTGTTTTTCCCTCTATATAATTCCCTCATCCTCGTGAGCATTATCTCAACATGCTTTTATAGTGTTCATGCCAATAACATTTTCTCCCTGAGCAGGGCATTACACTCTAATGTGCTCATTTTCCCTGACCAAAATTACTTCGCTATCACTTTTGGTAGACCCTGAGCCTGCAGAGAAATTATTTGGCTGCAATTGTCAGAGGGAATTAGCGCAGTGAAAAGCTTCTTTTTTTTTTTATGTGCGGGGGGCAGAAAGAGAGAAGTTCAATGCCTGATGGACACCAGCTGAATGGATGTTATTTACAGCAGAGCTAGCTGCTGTGCTAATGATGAGCGCAATAAAACAACAGAGATACTGTCGCAGATCAGGAAACAGTTCGCCGCCACCTGCTATATTACAGCTGTTAGTCTGGAACAGTGTGATGTCTCCTCTTTAGGCTGAAGACATTTTCCAGTTTTTATATTTAATAAACTTAGCAATTACAGTAAATTACAGACAAGAGGACCCACAAAGAGTACACAATCTCTTTTTCCTGTTTTCTGTCTGATCTAATGTAAGAAATGTTTGACGGTGCTAATCAGATTAAAGTCTGAACATGCATGTGGTGAGTCTTCAGACAGGAAAGTACATCATCTGCAAATGCACCGGGTCATCGTACTAGAAATATTTTTGCGAGGTGTTTTTTTTTTCTTTAATGATGAATATTTTGTTTGTTTGTTTGTTTTATGGCAGATCTCTTTTAGATCGTTTGTTAATTGTAAACCGTTGCGCTCTCTGCACGGCGGTTGTAAAAAAAATGATCCACGGAGACATTTTGCAGGTTCTCTGAGCGCTGCACTTGAACTGCACGTGTCCTGAACACAACAGATCTATGAGCGGTGACCAAAAAGTTTACAAGACAGCCAAAAAACATCATTTAAATGTGGCCGCCGTCACTGCTGAAGTTGTCCACTCGTGACGCTCCCTCAAAGTCCCGTCATGCAACCAAATCTAAACCATGTTGAGCTCCATCTGTGGTGAGCGCTGAACCTCCTGCGTCGACGGTTTAAAGCTGAATTTCATTTTGGGGAAGAGAAAGAAGTCACAAGGGGCCTAATGAGTAGAGTGGGTGGGGAGTGACGATTGTGTTGTTGTTGTTGTTGTTGTTGTTGCCAAAAACCCCCGAGGTAATGACCTCGCTGTGACCGGATGCACAGTGCAGGGGAGCCTCAGCATGCGATCGTGCCACAGCGCAGCTCATTTTCCCCCAAATACAGTAGAGCTCTGCCCAGATGGTGCACAAGGACGTGGATATTGAGGAAAACAACAAGCATGTTCTTGGGCTTGTTTGGTTTTGGAAACTGCTGCTTCTTCTCTTAATGGCAGCTGCAGACGCCCCCCCATCACTATCTATGATCGTTGACTGACACAGAATTTGATGTTTGCTCTCAGCTTCAGTTTGAGGTCAGCGGTAAAATCGCAAATGTGCACCTATGATGGTCACACAAACATGTACACACAGGGTTTGTTGTTAAAAGCGAGGCGTCATGCAACATCTTCAGTCATGACACCTACTCTTTGCTCATGTTACAAACTACAACTACCCTCTAACTC